GCCGCCCACTGAAATGATTAATGCTGGCTGTTAGGATTCATTCTGGAATCTGGACAAAATCAGTCTGTCAGCTATAGCTCTCTGGTGTCTTTAATGACTATTTTCAGAATTGTTGTTGTTTAGTTGTTACATTGTGTCTGACTCTTCGTGCCCCATGGACCAGAGCACGCCAGGCCCTCTGGTCTTCCACTGACTCCCGAAGTTTGGTTAAATTCATGTTGATAATTTTCAGAACACCGTACAGTGTTTCAGATGAGATTGCCCAGTTGCTCAGGTTTCAACAATGTGTGGTTTATGACTCCTGCACTGTGGGATGTTTTCTAAGTAGTTTGACTTGATGGAAGAGGAAGAGACCTGCCTACAATTATAGATCAGAAGCTTCTGAACAAAACACAGACAAGCAATATAGAAGCCCTTGGGATCAGTAAGATTTGGTGGTTATCATCAATATATGAAATTGCAATTATATGTCTTCATGATTTCAATTAAAAAACGGTATGATACATTGTGGGTGTAAAAGCCTAATAAATTGCTATCTGGAGCCAAAATAATTAAATTCATGAAAGTAGTATTTTGTTAATTGGAAGTTTCTCCTCTTCCCCTCTCATTTCTAACTTTTTATTCTGTAATGGAGCTGTATCAGTAGGTTTAGTTTTATGTATTCTCGAAGGTTTTTAATGGCTGGGACCAGCACTGAAAAATACAGCCTGCAAAAACTCTACCCAGCCACAAGGAACGGTGATCACTGCACACAAAAGATTAGCTAACGACCCCCATCAATCACACTGACAGACCATTTCCCCCCTTATCACAATACATCCATAACAAAAAAACAAACCAAAACAAAAAAACACTCTGATCACCATAATCACCCAGTCTTCTGAAAAGGATAAAAAGCTGATCCCGCAGCTACAAATACTCAACTATCCTACACCAGAACACAGAGTTCTGTCTGCGTCCTGTCCTCTGAAGATGCCAGCCACAGAGACTGCCGAAACGTTAGGAAGAAAAACATTCAGAACACGGCCAAGCAGCCTGAAAAACGTACAACAACCAATAGCGTTAGTTTTGTTTGTTAGGGCTACTGATAACACACAGGCTTTGATAAATCTAAAGTGCTTCCAATTTTCTTATTGAATAACTGGGACCTGAGCAAAACTCTTGCATGAAACAGCTAATATCAAAATTCCCATCCTATGTCTGACTACTTCTTGCTGAAAAAACATTTTTATGTGCTTACACTGATGTACCTAGTCTGGATCCTGCATGGAACAGGACTGATCGGGAAATAGCTATTCATTAATTAATGGCTGCCTGTATGGCAATCATTTTTAAGAAGGAAGGGAGTCCATTCCTCTGCAATTACTGATCAGTATATAAGGATCTGGAATATCTCATTCATGATCAAGCTAATATAATAAGAGTCAGAGAAGGCTATCTAGAGAATAACTGGTTTATAAAAAATATCTAATCTTTTTTTATTTTATATTGGACTGAAGTGAAAAAGCCCAAGATTCAGTGGAATCTTATTGACTTTTAAGGGATATTTCACATAATGATGTCTAAGCATCTGTATCCATATATGGTTTATAAACCTCTGTATATCTTTTACGTGCATCTATATTTTATTTGTATGCATGGGATTACATGCTTTAGAGATGGTTATGATGACAATGGCAATGGTGGCTGCCAAACAGATGGAAACAACTGACTGAACTGTCAGAGAAAAGTGAGAAAGGGTATCTGAGACAGAAGAATTCTCTGTGATGTTAATCAGGAAAGAACTTGCCAATCCCAGAGAAATGTTCTTATTTGTGGGATCTAATCGATTGAAGGGGCAGGGCAAGTGCCAGCTTCCATGTTATAAAGCGCTACAATTTATTTTTGAGATGTTGCTCTCTCTGGGTATACAACTCATGTGTGTGACTGCACAGAAATTAAAAAGATGAATACGAAAGATGTATCACAATACTTCTAAATTCTCTCGTCTTAGAAAACAAAATGTTGTGGTGATACACTGCTCTTCTCATTCAGGCATGCATGGAAAACATAAAATTGGTTAGGATAGGAGTGGGCATGCAGTATTCTATGTGCCCCATGGCACCACTATACCCTCCTGTCCCCCAAAGCTTTTAAAAACAAATATTCTGGCCTGAAATATCCAATTTCACCTGCAGGAAGATATGATTGGCTATTAAGGACATTTGCATACTACATGATCTGAGGCCCTTCCCAGCTCAAACCCAGATATCAGAGATAAGGGACACCCTCCAGGGTCCGGGGTAAGGTGTCTTCTGAAATATTGGTTTATAGTCAGTAGATTGTATGGAAGCCATTAAGTTGTATGTTGCAACAGTTCTCAATCTAAGCAGATATGCATTTAATTAGTGCTTGGAGAGGAGAGCACTGAAAGAATGATATAAAATTATTCCATAGCCTCTAAAAGAAGGGAAGCATTAATATGCTAAACACACATAAGAGAACAAACAGATTTTGTGTCAATTGTAAATAACATATATGAAGTATTACTTTCTCTTTTAAAATAATCTAAGTGCCCAGCAAAAGATTTCCCATCATATGTAGTTTAACAGGAAGGCTGCAAGATACACATGGGTATAAGTAATACGTAGAATATGTTTACAACACACATCATAAAATAATTCTGTTTTGTGTGAAGTTACATTGATTCTAAAGGTGTGCTGTTTCCTTCCCAGGAAGTCTCACCTGTGGTTCCTTCAGGTATCTCTACATACTGCTGAGCTGCAGTCCGGTTTTCATGTGCTCCCTCCTCCACTAATGGTGCAGTAGCCTCTGAAGCAAAAAGGCAAATAAAGCAGTTTTCATTTAGGAGCACCCCATATCAAAATTCTTTGGATGTTAATTACTTGAAGAGAACTGAAGAATGTCCTGTTGTAGAAGATTAAAGCACAACAGTTATGCAACCCTTTTTTTCCAGTTAGCAACTAGATACAACTCAGCTAAGATCTGAGCAGCAGTAATTGTTCAATGTCACAAAAATGAACTTCTAACTTTACCAGAAATCTGAACTTGAAACACATCCTTATTCAACACATGAGACCACCGTGAGATAAATGAGTAGCTTTATGTCAGGATCATTTCTCAGAACATGAAGTCACCCAGAAGTTTACAACTGGCAAATTATGATGGACTCACCTTCCACTTTTTCCTGCCTAAGGTAAAGGTAAAGGTTCCCCTTGACAATTTTTGTCCAGTCGTGTTCGACTCTAGGGGGCGGTGCTCATCCCCGTTTCCAAGCCATAGAGCCAGCATTTGTCCGAAGACAATCTTCCGTGGTCACATGGCCAGTGCGACTTAGACACGGAACGCTGTTACTTTCCCACCAAGGTGGTCCCTATTTATCTACTCGCATTTTGCATGCTTTCGAACCGTTAGGTTGGCGGGAGCTGGGACAAGCGACAGGCGCTCACTCCGTCGCGTGGATTCGATCTTCCGACTGCTTGGTCTTCTGACCCTGCAGCACAGGCTTCTGCGGTTTAGCCCGCAGCGCCACCACGTCCCTTTTTTCCTGCCTAGAGGGAGCTTAAATTAAGCCCCGGCACTTGTGGCAGAAGCCTGTGCACTAAGCAACCATACTGGAAAGCTGGTTACCCATAGAGGATTGGCCTCTAAATATGAAGACAGAAGTGAGCCATCCGACATTAGAAAGAAACAGTGTCAATTATCACAGGGACATAAATGGTAGTAAAGACCTCAGTACTACTCTCTGGTCTTGTTTAAATACTACAAATATAGAATCAGATTCTGTCTTCTGCCCACAGAACACTATTCCAATGACAGGAAGACAAGAGACAAAAACACAGACAAGACAATCAATGAGACAGATAAAGGGAAGAAATGATATAATTACGTCTCTTTCTTTCTTAAATCTGTACACATGAGAGAGAAAACAATCCTAAAAGAATTTAGTGACTTGACTAAACATAGTCCTTTCCCAAGAATTAAAACTCAATTACAGTATCCTTCATCAGCTAAGCTTTTCTAGAGTGCACAATTCTGATATGGAAAAAAATACGAGTCTTCTGCAGATCATTCAAGAACAGCAGCAAAGACGTCAGGAAGCCTTGCCTCACTAGAAAAAAAACTTTTTTGGTAGACTTATAAAATCATGTTTTGGTGTGCTTCTAAAAACATGCTTAAGAGCTGGGTGCTGTAAATGTCAAAATAATGAGACAAAGAGCGCCCACCTTCCACAGTTGGGGTACTCTTAGCATCAGAAGCCTCAGACCCTGGTTCATCAGATCCATCATCAACTGGTATGTGGAGGGGAGAGCCTGGAAATACACACACTCAGCATAAGGAACTCAGCTTTTGAGTATGGCCTGCCAGCTATGCAAAAGGTTATTGAATTAAAGCTTGCTCTCTCCCATATCGCTAAGAGCAGCATGCATATGTGATTTTTGGCCCGCAGTAACCACAGACATTTTAAAGAGAAGTCAGTGGTAGAAAGTGCCATAAACGACTAAACACACACACAGTGGTAGAAAGTGCCGGATGCAAGTGTCTTCGGCAGCAAAAGAACAGCTAAGGTGAAGCTATTAAGAGCATTAGATCTGCCATTTGCAGCAAGCAACAAATGAAAGTAAACAATCAGGAAGTCCAAATGCAAGACAAGCCTTTTTCATCTCAGTATAAATAATTGTAAAAGCCATTTTAATAATGCTGCAAGTTGTACCGTGCTTGTAAGAAGGTATATTTTAGCATCCTGGAGCATAATAATAAATAATAATAATAAATGCTTTTTATGAAAGAAAGCAAACAAAAGCATTCACAGCAGAGGTTAAAAGTGTTTCAGTATCACAGTTGAACACTGCTAAAAGAAATCTTCTGAACTATACTTTTAACAATCAAGAAAGGCAGAAATCTTCTTTTTGTGATATACAGGGAATACATCCAGATGAGTAGGAATCTGCTGCCCTCTTGCATTTTGTATGCAGCAAATTCCATGACTAAAAAATGAGCCTCAATGACAGAAATGTGAGGAGACACAACCCTATCTCTTCAAGATCTCAACCTCTCTAAGTTTTCTGTAGAAATATATGAAGAGGGTGGCAGTGGGGATCTCTTTATCCTTCTATCTGTAAATGACAGAAGGTGAAACTGTTGCTTATGGAGGACGGTTATTTCAGCAAATCTCCATTTATAGGTGGGCACTGTCATTTCTATTCAAATCAACAGAAAATACTTCCATCAGGGAAGACCGCAGAATAGCCTCTACATAGAACACATGGTTGCTTATTAGACATGGGGATGAATTTTAAAAATTGCAATATTCATTAAAAATCACTGATTCATTAAATATTCCTCCCTTCTTATTTGTGAGTTCCAGAGACCCCCACGAATATGAAGGGATGAATACAGTCATGGCCAAAAATATCGGTCCCCTTGCAATCCTGTCAGAAAATGCAACCCTTCTCTCAGAAAATTGTTGCAGTTGCAAATGTTTTGGTACTCACACCTTCATTTATTTGGTTTGCGATGGAACACCACAAAAAAAGAGAGAAGGAAAATCAAATCTGATACAATTCTACACAGAAACCCAAAAATGCACTGGCCATAGCACTCCCTAGTTGGACAGTGTCATCAAAGCTACCAACATGAATTTGACCCAACTCCGGGAGGCAGTGGAAGACAGGAGGGCCTGGCGTGCTCTGGTCCATGGGGTCATGAAGAGTCAGACATGACTTAACAACCAAACAACAAGCACCCCCTTTGGAAAAAAATAACTGAAATCATTCACTTCCTGTAACCTCGAATGAGTTTGTTAACCTCTCTACTGGAATTTTGGACCACTCTTCTTTTGCAAACTGCTCCAGGGCCTTCAGATTTGAAGGATGCCTTCACCCAACTGCTGTTTTGAATCTCTCCACAGGTGTACTGTGGGATTCAGATCTGGACTCATTGCTGGCCTTTTCAGAACTCTCCGGGGCTTTGTATGTAACCATTTCTAAGTGCTTTTTGAAGTGTGTTTAGGGTCATTGTCCTGCTGGAAGACCCATGATCTCTGGTGGAGAGGCAGCTTTCTGATAATGGCCACTACGTTGCACCCCCAAATTATTTGGGAATCGCGAAGGCTTTCACGGCCGGGATCTAATGGTTGTTGTGGGTTTTCTTCTCTTTTTTTGTGTGTGTTGTTCCAATGCAAACCAAAGAAATAAAAATGTGAGTACCAAAACATTTGCAACTACAACAATTTTCTGAGAGAAGGGTTGCATTTTCTGACAGAATTGTAAGGGTGCCAATATTTTTGGCCATGACTGTATTTGTCCATCTTTATTTGTCCCTCATATGAAGAGAGAGAAAGCTAGCCTTCCCTCTCTTCCTATGGTCTTCCCATTCTGCCTATGGGCAGTCAGCCAGCCCCACAACCACCACCCTCCACAACCTATCCCCTGCCCCTCCCTACCTTAGCTGCTGCCACCATCCACCACTGCCTGGCATTGCCGTCATCCACTGCCGCCGGCTACCACCGCCATCCATCACCACTCGCTACAGCGGCCTCTGCAGCCACGGCCTGCAGTAAGGCACAGTGGCTGCCCTTTGCAAAGATGGTGGCTGCAGCTTCTTTTCGGGCAGGGAAGTTGCACCTGCCATATTTGCAAAGGAGAACCCAGATTACTAAGGCAGCAAACGGCCGTGGATGATGACTGTGGGGGCCACTGTAGTGCAGGCTGCTGTGGATCATAGTGGCAGCGGCACAGATTGTGGCAGCCAAGGTAGGGAGGGGTCAGGTCAGCTTTTTTACTAGACAGCCTCTGGAAAACCCCAATGAAACAACGAATCAATTTGTTGTTTGTAGATTCATGGTGAGGAGATTCGTGCTTCGTGGTTCATCAACTTTGACGGATTACAAAGCAGGACGAATCACCCAAATGGCGATTCGTCTCCATCTCTACTGATGGATCCACATCATGCATTCCTCCAAGTGAAGGTCAGCTTTTTTACTAGACAGCCTCTGGAAAACCCCAATGAAACAACGAATCAATTTGTTGTTTGTAGATTCATGGTGAGGAGATTCGTGCTTCGTGGTTCATCAACTTTGACGGATTACAAAGCAGGACGAATCACCCAAATGGCGATTCGTCTCCATCTCTACTGATGGATCCACATCATGCATTCCTCCAAGTGAAAAGGTCAAAGAATCAAACATTTTAAAAATCCAATACCCTATGCAATATTTTCCAAAATAAAAATTCCAATGTCAAATCAGAATTCAAATCTGGGTCCAGCTGACCATTAAGTTAGTAGATTCATATTGTGGATACAGCGGAGTGAAGCATGTTCTGAAGGTCTCTTTTTATTTATTTTTATTTTTCAATTGCATAATGTAACATTAGATACAACATTAAATATGAAAAATAAGGACAAAGGAATATTTTTTAAAAAAATGAATAAACAACAAGGCCAGTGGAGGTGATGGCTTTCCAGTCAAACTATTTAAACTCTTTAAAAATGACGCTTTTAAGGTGCTACACTCAATATGTCAGCAAGTTTGGAAAACTCAGTAGTCGCCAGAGGATTGGAAAAGATCAATCTACATCTCAATCCCAAAGAAGGGCAGTGCCAAAGAATGCTCCAATTACTGTACAATTGCACTCATTTCACATGCTAGCAAGGTTATGCTCAAAATCCTACAAGGCAGGCTTCAGCAGTATGTGGAACGAGAACTCCCAGAAGTACAAACTGGATTTCGAAGGGGCAGAGGAACTAGAGACCAAATTGCTAACATGCGCTGGATTATGGAGAAAGCCAGAGAATTCCAGAAAACATCTACTTCGGCTTCATTGACTATGCAAATGCCTTTGACTGACTGGACCACAGCAAACTATGGCAAGTTCTTAAAGAAATGGGAGTGCCTGACCACCATATATATCTGCTGAGAAACCTACACGTGGGACAGGAAGCAACAGTTAGAATTGGATATGGAAACACTGATTGGTTCAAAATTGGGAAAGAAGTACGACAAGGCTGTATATTTCCCCCCAGCTTATTTAACTTATATGCAGAATATATCATGCGAAAGGCCGGACTGGATGAATTCCAAGACGGAATTAAGATTGCCGGAAAAAATATCAATAACCTCAGATATGCAGATGACACCACTCTGATGGCAGAAAGTGAGGAGGAATTAAAGAACCTCTTAATGAGGGGGAAAGAGGAAAGCACAAAAATGGTCTGAAGCTAAACATCATCTCCTGGCAAATAGAAAGGGAAGATATGGAGGCAGTGACAGATTTTCTTTTCTGGGCTCCGTGACCACTGCAGATGGTAACAGCAGCCACTAAATTAAAAGACGCCTGCTTCTTGGGATGAAAGCGAAGACAAACCTAGACAGCATCTTAAAAAGCAGAGACATCACCTTGCCGACAAAGGTCTGCAAGGTCAAAGATATGGGTTTTCCAGTAGTCATGTATGGAAGTGAGAGCTAGACCATAAAGAAAGCTGACTGCCGAAGAATTGATGCTTTTGAACTGTGGTGCTGGAGGAGGCTCTTGAGAGTCCTCTGGACTGCAAGAAGGACAAACCTATCCATTCTAAAGGAAATCAACCCTGTGTGCTCCCTGGAAGGACAGATCTTGAAGCTGAGGCTCCAGTACTTTGGCCATCTGATGAGAAGAGAAGACGCCCTGGAAAAGACCCTCGTGTTGGGAAAGTGTGAAGGCAAGAGGCAAAGGGGACGACAGAGGATGAGATGGTTGGATAGTGTCATTGAAGCTACGAATGTGAATCTGACCAAACTCCGGGAGGCAGTGGAATACAGGAGGGCCTGGTGTGCTCTGTTCCATGGGGTCACAAAGAGTCGGACACGACTAAGCAACAACAACAACTAAACAATCAACAACAACTAAACAATCAACAGATATATTTAAATTGAATTCAGTTCTAAGTTTGTGTCAGTCTGAAGGTGACTTGTGCAATAATGTAGCTGTAGCTGAGCATGTCTGTTCTGGGTCTAGAGAGGAGAATAACTAAACATGCTTTGAGTTTTAGTAAAGGAGAAAAATAATGTAAGATATATGATCTTATCTGAGGCCAAGCATTCTCTCGGAGATTAAGTAGTTATCAATACTGTATAAGGGCATTCTGGAGAGGGGAAGGACTAAGACGTGTACAAATCTGCCCAAACATTTAGATCCTTCACAACAGCCCCCTCAGTACATACCAAACAAACTTTTGACTGGAACAAAGGAGAGGTCGGTCTTCTTCTGTTAATATATCCACACTATGAAACTCACTCTCCATGCATTTAACTCCTTCTTTACTTGCCTTCTGCTAAAGTGGCCAGAATTCTGTTGTTAATTTGCAATAGATGCACACACAGTAATATAACTCATTAGTTAACAGCAATTCACCATAGTGAGTTATGCAATTTAACTCAGGCATTCATAAGCCCCCAAGAGGATACTGTACTTGCCGATGTTTACAAACTTTCAGACTAGTTCTGCTCTGTTGTGCAATCCCTCCTTCTTCTGCCATTTGATATTAAACAGAGGGATTAAGAGGAGATTCCATTTCTCACTCTTCAGTAGCTCATGTCTCTGTAGGTCCATGTGTACAATGAAAAATGCTTCTGTAGTGCTGTAATTTGAATGTACACTGTTGTCTAGTTGTTAAGTTGTGTCCGACTCTTTGTGACCCCGTGGACCAGAGCACGCCAGGCCCTCCTAACTTCCACTGCCTCCTGGAGAATTTGAACATACACCCTCCCCCCTTTAATGTGACCACCCAGAGCCAGTCTGAAGGAACTTTGTTTAGTCTTTTAAAAACCTAGACTTGCCATAGCTAACATGTAAAACGGTTTTTTAAACTGCTGCAGTTTTCTCATTCTAAACTGCTAGCAGTGCTCTTTTTATTGCTTTGTTATTCTACTTCATGATTTTTATTTCTAGCTGTACTAACATCACATGGAAAAGTGAGATATAAGTAATTTAAATAAAGTAAAATAAATGTAAACAAAGAATCCTTAACTTTGTGGAATATTTTTACTCAACGGATTAGTGTTCAATACTAGAATGATGGGCTGTTATCCTCCTTGTATTTATCCAACACCATCAGCCATTAAGGATCAGTAGCTTCTACTCAAATAATAATTTACCACCAGGAGTATGAGGCAAAAACAAAATAAACAAAAAAATATATTATCCAACACCATCAGCCATTAAGGATCAATAGCTTCTACTTAAATAATAATTTACCATCAGGAGTATCAGGCAAAAACAAAATAAACAAAAAAAATGTAGTGGCACCTTAAAGACTAACTGCTATATTTAAATATGAACTATGCTTTTGTAGACAAGTCTACTTCCTCAGACAAAATAGTGGACACAAGGCCTGATGTTTAAGTTTTTTTGCAACATTTGGACTGTAATCAACATTTTTCAAGCCTTATATGGTTTGCCTCTGGTCATTCCATTGACTTGTCAATTTCTGAGGATATAATGAATTATTTATTTATTTATTTATTGTGTGCTGTATCTATCTATCTATCTATCTATCTATCTATTTATTGTGTGCTTCCTCATTTTGTCCAATTTATGGTGATCCTCCTATTGCTTTCTAGGTGTAAGGTACACAGAAGTGATTAATCAGACCCTCCTTCTAGGGGTGTACAGGTACACACCTCAGCCACATTATGTTCCAAGTGATCTTGAGAGGTCCCTCTCCTAGGAGGTACAGTGGAGATTGAAACTCGCAGCCAAGTTCTCTCTCTGAATTACACAAAACAGTGAAGAAAATGGAAAGTGGAAAGTATATCCATAATAAATGTTTCCACTGTGATATATGCATTCCCACTTTGTTGACCCAATATTGGCCAAAGTCCCCCATTCCTCTTTAGCTCTATAAAGTACTTCAAATAGAGACTGGTTTCTTTTCAGATGGCAGAAATCATCTTATTGCACTCTTTGGAACAAGCCTGGCTCTGTCTTCAGAAACCAGGATGGGGAAGTGGTTGGACTGAACATGTTAGAGGATTCCAAAAGTTCTCTCCACATAGCAGGTATGAGCTTTAAATAGGCAAAAGAGAATAAATGTAAGCAATATAGTGTGATGCCCATTAGGATAAAAATTTAAAATTCACACATATACTAATAGAATCTGTGAAAAACTGACTAAGAAAATGAACTTGGATTGTATACATGAAAATGCTGATTCTGCATGTGGGTGATGTAAGAAGGTGAGTTAAGTAATTGTACATAAATAGAGAAAGAATCAAAAATAGAACTTCCAATGCCATTCTGCCTACACAACTCTATGGAGAAACCATATTTGCAATCAATACTTGATATACAAGTTGACCCTTCAACTTTTGTTTAATTTTTAACTAACTCTATTTCATTAGAAGAACCTGAAAAGAATTCAAGGCATATAAGAGACGAAAACAGGCTTAATTAGAATGAGAAAATAAACTACACAAGATGACTACCAGTACTCTCCTCCTTGGTTTATATTCTTTGCTTTGGAGGGCATACAGTACCAATCTGGTTCGATTATGATTCTGTTCTGCGATGGTGGTTGATTTACTCGACGACCATCACTCATTTATTCAAAACTAACTTCTCACTGATCTCAAGAACTGATTCAATGGGATACTGGTTTCTTATCTAAAAGCAATTCATCCTCATAAGAAAAACACTGTTTCGTTTATTCTAACTTGAGGCTGCCTCAGTCTGCATTTCGCAAATCAGCTTTCTTTTGTTATGTGACTGGTTAGCTGGGAGACAGAACAGCTCTGTGTGTATGTCTGATGTTTCAAGCACACACAAAACAAAAAGATTTTCATGTCTCGGTGATTGTAAGAGGGGAAAATAAGCATTTGCCTTAATGCATGATCAGATTTTCAGAGAAGCTTAGTTTCAACCATAATTAAAACTCCAACCTACCAAAGTTTGTTAAAGGAGGATGGTTCAATCACTTGCTTAGCCATGTGTGTTGGCTCAGACATTCTTTGAAGCCCTAGTATATAACATTATGAAGAGTACTTGCGAAAATAACACAAGACACACAGATTCATGCTTGAGAGATATCTGGAATCTGGTATCTGGTGTGTGATCTCTATAACTGCTCTTTCAATTTTTGCAAAATACGAATTCATTTAAAATAATAACCTACATTAAAAATGTGACTGTGCAATTTTATAAGAACATGTAGCTGCAGAGTATCAATTTGCATGTAAGAAAAGAAATGTAGTTATGTTGTTGGTTCATGAGAAGGTGCAGGGAGACAAGTATCTGGACAAAAGGTGAAATTAACATAAGAAAAATAGCTTTCATGATTCTTAAATATATACATATATCACACAAAGGACATGTCACACACATTAATCCCAGCCCCATCCAGTGAATGCTATTTCCAACCTAAATGGAGGAAAAAACATTCTTATTTATAGACAAAAAAACGTTTTCTGAATAGCCTTGCCTTTCTTCCTGTCAGGTTTTACAATCCTCTGGACACTTCACATACTCTTCAAATGTAAGATTACTGTATTTTTCCATGTATAAGACGTGCCACACTTTTCTAACACAAAATTAAGAAATCTTAGCTTTTAGTATTCAGCCTCTGGGCTCAGAACGCTTGGCCATTATGAGTCCCTGTTGTATCTGAGAACTACCTATAGCTCCACCTCCAAGGATGTGTGTTCCAACTGGTTTGTTCAGCATCAGCTAACATCAGTTACATAAGGCTCATGATTGGAGGAAGCAAAGTCTTGTGACTGCAGGAGGACAAGCCTCCTGAGGGCAGCTAAGCCTCGTGACTAAAGGAAGCCTATTTGCAAAGGCAAGGTATGGGCCATATTGTTCTCTCCTCAGCTTGCTTCCGTGTATAAGACAACCCTCAATTTTTAGTCTAAAGATTTTAGATGAAAGTATCATCTTAGAAAAATACAGTATTTCCAGGTTTAAATTTTATTCTGTACTGTGATGGATGGCACAGTCACTTTGCAGCAATTCTGAAAAGTGACAGTAAAAAATAGCATTTGGGTAGTCCAATGCTTATACCGATAGGCTAGGAGTAAAAGCAGATGAGCACACAAAATTCAGCTCACAGCAAGCATTGTCTTGTCACTATTTTCAAAATAACTAATTATCTGTTAACTTGAAGCAAAGGTAAAATCTAGTGGGTATTTGGTAAAAAGGTACTGTATATCAAAAAGATTTGCTATGAATGATTTGGGCCAGCAAGATGATGATATTTTAAAAAACAAAACTGCTGGAACAATAGACAGGCAATTTGCTTTATACAGCTGCTCTTTGTTACTGGGTACAGAACTATATTCTAACTATTTTGACTAGTCTTCAGAAGAGGGACAAAAATTATAGGCTATGTTCACAGTACAAATGAAAACTATCATTCGTTAGAGTGAATATTATAGTCACAACATGACTAACAATCTAGTAATGATGGTTCATTTGTCATTTTCATTATGTTCATTCTCATTTAAACTAATCTGATTTGTCCTTAGCTAATGCATAATTTCCGCTATCTATTTTCCTCTATCCCCTGCCATGCCACAACAGACCAGATTGTCTCCAAAATACCCAGGAGATTTCTTTTGCTACTCGCTGTAACAAATACATAGAATTTCCCTTCCATAACTTAAACCATCTTTACAGTCACTTTTCTGATAAGAACCACAACTAACTGCTTTTAAATGACAAGGCTCCAAAAACAAAAAAATGTCAACTAATGAATGCAAAGCATTGGCAACAAATGATGCAAACATGCACAAGGATACTTTTGCCTAAAATGTATGCCTAACCTATTCTCGGTTCATTTACATTTGCAGGTTCCATTCTCACAGACAGATTTTCTCTTCTCTTCGTACTGCATACCACCATTTTCCTGGATCCCACCCTACGGAAGAAGCTCCTTCCTGTTTGCCACCCAATAAGGCTCACCTGTTGGGTTCCATCTAGCTTGGCTCACCAAATGGTCATCTGTCATATTGAAGTTCTGATGCTGGTCAGCCATCCTATGACAAAGGTTATCTAGAATAGGAAAAAAATTATCATAAGATAAAAGTAATACAAACCAATCTTTCTTGCCTACTCCTTGGCCATGCATGCTTTTCATTCATTTTCCACTAAGACTTTTGACTACCAGATCTATATTTAGCAATAAGAATTTGGTAAAGCATTCACTATCATCCTTCCCCCTATATTATATTATAATATTATACCTCCAGATAATATTAGGTGCTCGTACTAAACTTCCTGTAGCTATTATCATTAATATTCAAAAATAACAGGAAAAATTAATCAAAATTATAAAATATTGACTCGTGTTATGTAACAGATACAAGTTTTAACACCAAAAAACCCCTAAGTACCTGTTAAATCCCCTTCACGGATTGCTGCCTTGTTGTGGCGAAGGGGCTTGGGTAATTCAGAGAAGCTATGGGCTATGCAGGGACATCCAAGACGGACAGGTCATGGTGGAGAGTTCTGACTAAATGTGATCCACCTGGAGCAGGAACTGGCAAGCCCCTCCAGTATCTTTGCCAAGAAAACTCCATGAACAGAAACAAAAGGCTAAAAGATATGATGCTGGAAGATGAGCCCCTCAGGTCAGAAGTAATAAGGTATTCCTGAGTAGTTATCAATCTCAGGCTGCAATCTTATGCCCTCCACCTGTGTACTTCATATTTCCCTAGTCACAGAGTGTCTTTTGGGAGGAGATTTATCTGAAACATGAACTGAGCACTTCTTCCACATTCCTTTTGCTTTTTGTCCCTATTATCTTAACCCAGATGCTCTCTGTGGCATAACTAAGTTTATCCTCCTGTGTTTCTGTGCAGGAATATGTAATTTTTACATTATACTGCAACTCCATTCTCTTTCTAGTCTTTTTGAACCATTTATATCTTTCAATTGCTGTATTCCAGTCATGGGAGTCATCCCATTAAGTTTCAGTTATCCCTATCTAGTCATATTTACCTTCCTGAACTAAGATTTCCAGTTCTTCTTGTTTGTTTCCCATACTCCTGGCATTTGTAGATTGAGACTGGAGATTATGTGATCTGTGGCCTGCTTTCTTTGGTACATTTTAATGAAAATTATTATTAAGTCCTGATAGAGTTGCTCAGTCTGTTCCTCTTATTGTGCTTAAGCCTTCATCTATCTTTACCTCTGAGCTTGCATCTATTTCCCTCTTCAATTTCAGTTTAAAGCCCTCCTGATGAAATTCTTCATACATTCTTCTCATTCCTTGTGGGGTGCAACCCATCACTTGCCAGCAGTCCATCTCGCCAGCAGGAAGTGTTGCCTGTGGTCCCAACATTGAAATCCCTCGCACTTGCACCACCTTTGTAGCCACACACTCGGCTTACTTTCCTTCCTCTTTCTGTTGCTCTTCTGAATACTGGTGAGATGGACAAGAAGACTATCTGGATCCAAAAGTCCTTGAGGATTAAAGGAAACTTTCATTCTTTGTTGTTTTTAGTACCATTTGATGAAGTGGGCTGTGTTGCTACAGTAGTAGTTATCAAACTTTGACTATTTGATCCATACAGAAATTCTTACTGTATACAAGTCTGTCCATCCATCTTCTGCAGCAAATAAAGGCACTATGTACATGCCTTTGGATGATGGCACTGGTATTTTGACAAGAGGATTTTCATTTTCCTATTTAAATCTTCCAGATTTTAGTCCACAAATCCAAAAGAATATTGTTAATACTAGGGTTGCCCAGCTATTAATAACAATATTTTTTCTTTTGCATCATGTTCTGTTTTGACTACTGCTTTAACTCATCCAAGTACTTATTCCTGAGCAACGATTTAAATACTTTGTAATTTATATTGAGATTTTCATTTATGCCTAGATATTTATAGGTTTTCTGCTCCTCTAAACATTGAATAAACTATTCTTTAGTGAACCCATAGTTATTGCCCTCTGAAAATTTGCCTCTTTTCATGGGGGTAACAGCATATTTATGAACATCAAAATTAATTTTTATATGTGTACTACAAGACTCAACAATGTTTAAGAGACTACTCAGTTTGCCAGGAAGGCTTGCAAATAACTTTAAATTCTCCATGTACATTTGTGAAATATTACGGTAATTTCTTTGATAACTAGACTCATCATAGCCTTTTGTGCTATCATTCAGCTGTTTATATAGATTTAAAGCCAGTCAGAACCTAAAGAGCTCAAAGTATCACCCTGGAAAACATCTGTTCTGGCAGTGACATTATTAGAGAATAAGTCTCTGCACCTTAATTTTGTCCTCCTTTTCATCGTGAATATATAGTAGATAGTAAAGTAATCCTATTATCAATTGTGTAAATCCTGAAAATCTTAAGAAGTCTTGTGTTGTGCCCAGAATCAAGTTGTCTTTTGACAATCAATATAAGCAATGGATAAATTTCTGGAGTTCTTTCCTGCCTGATTCAGTAAGAAGCAATAATTAATGAGTAATTCCTTGCAGCCACAGGATTTCTTAAATGCAGCCTCTCTGTTGGTCCTGTTAGGATGCAACTGCATTCAAGAAAACTATAAACATTTTTGGAAATAATTGATGTCAATCATTTATAAACTATGAATAAACAGATGATAGCTCAGTGGTTTTAGGATAAAAACAATTTCCAGATTAACAAGGAGGCAAGGTATTTCTTGCTTAAAGAATTCTGGAACAAGATCTGGATTGCCAAGGGCTTTGTTAAAAAATTTAGACAGATGTGAACGGATTTAAATTATTTTTTCCACCAGAAGTTGTGAATCCCATCTACCTTGGCAGCTTTCCAATTTTATGTCTTCTCCACTGTTTGATATATGTCCTTATCTTTTATTTCACAGAGGACAATAGGTGGTTGAGAGTTGCAAGCTTCATGTCTGTATTAGAAGCATGATTTCCTCAGTACTTCTAAAAATTCTCGCTGGGTCTTATAGTAGCTTCTGATTTATTTCCTGTTTTCATTTATGCCTAGATATTTATAGGTTTATAGGTAGCTTCTGATTTATCTCCTGTTTGGGGCAAACTGCAGTAGAACTGTTTCTGATCTGTTCAGAATAGATAGTTTTGCAATTTCATCCTCACATACCTTGCTAATATTGTTGTTGCCATTAGTTTACTAAAGTGAACTGCTTTATACTCACTGGCCAAAATCCTGTTGCTTAGCACAATAAAATACACTAGAGCATATCCACTAAATCAATGGAGATTTCGTGAGTTAACTCTTCCATAAATTCAACTGATTCAAATTCAAATATTATAATTGTGACTCACTTTTGTGTAATAAGTCGCAGTTAGAGTAGGCCCACTTGAATCAACGCAATTTATGGAGGAGTTGCCTCACAAAATCCCCATTGATTCAATGGACTTATTCTAGTGCAATTTAAAACAACAAGCAATAGGATTTTGGCTATTATATATACTCTGTAAGATAGTTTATGGAGACTAATGCTTTCCAGCAACAGATACAATAAAATCTTCTCATCCACTAGCTTAGCACATCCTCAAGCATCAGTTTTTGTAGTTCTGCACACCATGCTTTAACATGCTTATAAAAGCTAAAAATATGTCCTAAATCAGCTACAAAAACATTTGGCAACAATAAGCCAAACATATGCTTCCTGGATTTATTTGATCAAATGTTTATACTAGATTATTTGAAACAGGACAGAAGACAGGAAAAATAAATGCGCAGATAAAAATATCTTCAGGTTGGGCTGTCCACTTAGAATAAATCAGTGCAATCTATATATCACATAAGCATATTGGCACTTTTATTGTTTGTTAACAGGGTAACATTTGACACCACTTATAGCACAAGTAAACAAAGTAAAACAACCACATGGGTAATAGTAAAGGAAAGGGGTAAATAGCGAAATCTGAAAGTTGAAATTTGAAAAGTGGTTCCCCCCCCCCCCCCGGCCTCAGTCTCCATTTCAATACCTGCCAAATAGTTGAATTCCCTCTAAATTTTATCCTGAAATACTGGATCGGACCTGGGCAAAGTGCGGCCCTAGGGCCACATACAGTTCGAGGGCCGCTCCTGTCCGGCTCGCAGTGCGGCCCAAGGGCCACATACGGCTCGAGAGCCGCTCCTGTCTGGCTCACCAGTTGTCGCTCCAGTCCGATGTTCAAGCCCAAGACAGACTGGATTTATCTCACTGAACAAGTTGAACATCAAAACCATTTATAGCTTTTTGTCTAAAGTTGATCAGTTGCTTATCTTTAACATAACGCAAAAAAACTCTTTAGTATTTGTGAAGATTAACAAATTTAATATAAAAATAATCATATCACTGTTTCATTTTATTTTAAAGTAAAGTTGGTTCAGCCCGCAAACACAGTTCAGATTTTTCATGTGGCCCCCTATAGAAATTAATTGCTCACCCCTATACTGGATGTTAGCAACTCTCCTCCTTCACACATAAGGTACGGATATTGTTATGTTTTACTTCTATGTATTCCTTGATTTGTTGATCACAGACCTAGAGGCAAGGGTTCAGATTCTCTCTCAGCCATGATCTCATTGAACTTGTATAATAATCCATTCCAAATGGTCAAGCATTTGGAATGGATTGGAATGGATTATTACACCAGCTCTTCAAACAGAAAGCAGGACAAGGACTATCTACCATGACGTGAAAAGATATTTTTTAAGGGAGAAAACTATTACAGTACTCATATCTATCACCTACAACAATTCAAAAATATTTGGCTCTTAAAACTGAGGCTTCTCCTGTCTTTGATACCTTACAAAATAACAGATAAAGCAGTGTTTGCGACTTCTGGTCTACCAGTTCAACACACCAGATATCTAAGTTTGATAGATGCATAAAATGCAGTGAAATCTGAACCTTTAGAAATACAATGATTGCCCTAGTAAGACCTCCACCAGACAACCATCTAGAATTTCAAGCTAGCCAGAGTCAGGTTTCCAGAGCTGTGCTCAAAAAGTAAATTGATATTTACACAGGAGAATATGATACATAGTTGTATATTTGCTAATGAATACTGAGATGTCTCACAAGAAAATGAG